TTAATGCAGTTGAATTTCTTTAATTTCAAATTATTACATTTTATGAATTAAAAACATCACCAGAAGAGAGACTTATAATCCAAACTCCCAAAAAGCCCATATTACAAAAAGCATATAGTTAATAATTCCTAATTTATTTCATATATCTACAAGAAATCTTATCACATCATATATATTCATTTAGATAAAAGTATAAAATGTTAATATTGAAATTGGACTGTTGCAATTTGCTTAATAATCATTTACAAATTCAGAAATGTTCTTAAGGATCAACATGTAATAAAAAAAAATTTCAGAAATAATTATATGAATATTGTGGTCCATGACTTAAAACACAAAAAGACATAAAATTGTAGAATTGTTTGTTTTTTGATAAGCTTTTATTTGTTTTTTTGGGGGAAGAAGGGGACCACACCTGGTGATGCTTAGAGATTACTCTTGGCTCTGCACTCAGGAATTACTCCTGGCACTGCACGGGGAACCATATATTATGCTGGGGGTCAAACTCTGGTTGGCCACATGCAAGTCAAGCACCCTACCCGCTATACTATTTCTGTAGCCCCCAGTATTTTAGGCCCTTAATGTAGTATCAGGGATCAAACCCATAGCTCCACACATGCAGGGCAAGATTTCTACCAGTGAACTACATTCATGGCAATGCACATTAGAATTTTTCACTGAAATTCATAGCAAAAAAAAAAAGCAGATGTGGCTTCAAATTAAAGACATACCATTTAAGAGAGTTTTAAAATTTGACATTATAGTCATTTATGCCATTTCTAATCATAAAGAAGATGAGGATTGCTACGTAAGAAAGGATAACTGTTGCAGATTTAATTGTATTTTATCAGATATTAACTATTACATCTTGGTTGATTTCTTTAGTATCTGAAACTGGTTATGGGATTGGGGAGAGAGCACAATGGACTTACATATGAAGCACATACCTTACATATGAAGGCCCATTGAATGTCCACCCCAAGATCGGCCAAGTATGACACTGGTTGTATTCCTTCTGGCAGACCCTAGTACTTCTGGGCCATACACCTAATCTGTAGTACCAGGAATAGTTCTAGGCCCCCAAGCACCACTGGGAGGAAACCCCTACCCCCCACTTCTTTAAGCTGGCTTGAAATTATGTTTTCTCTCACAACTCAATTTAGCAGATAAATTAAATGAGTGGATGGCAGTAAATTAAATACTGCATACATTCTGTTTCTGTATATGGAATAGATATACAGTACAAAAATTTTTTGAAAAATTTGCATGTGTGTGGGAAAGTGAATATTACTTTTTCTTCAAGGGAGCATAAATCTGTGAAAATAAACTAGGAATTTTCTTTTTTTGGTCTTTTTTGGGTCATATCCAGCGATGTTTTACTCCTAGCTCTGCATTGAGGAATTACTCCTGCCAGTGCTTGGGGGATCATATGGCATGCCAGGGACTGAACTTGGGTCAGCTATATGCAAGGCCCTACTCACTGTACTACCGCTCCAGTCCCAGGAACTTTCTTGAAGTGACCCTGTTGTAAAACTTACTTGGTAGTCATAAACAGATTTTTTTAGGCAGTTTAAATATATTTAGAATTTCATCTGTTTACTTAATCTCAAATGTAGAATCAGTTCCTTGAGTTTCTCTGATTACTAGAAATTGTACAGAAAATTAATTAAAAAATATACTTCAGCTCAATTTCTAATTACAATTAAGTAATTTAAATCTCCAGTTTATGAGGCCAATGGCTCAAAGGGCTTTCGTGCATGCTTTGCGTGCAAAGATCTTGAATTCCATCTTCCAACACAACATAGACCCCAATCAACTATGAGAATGATCCCTTAGCACCACTGCCAGGTGGAGCCTAAATCAAAAAATAAAAAAAAAGCACCTTCAATTTCGCTCTTATGATTAAGTTTTTAAAAATCAACTTTAAAATAGACTAATTTTTAAAGGCAGATTATAATAAAGTGCATGCATATTAACACATGAAGATATGCAAAAAGTGTTGATGTTATTTGAGTGATAACTTTCTTGTAAGTTATTATAATTTCAACTTTTTAAATGAACATATACTGCTTTTGTAGACAGAAAAAAATAATAAATATTATATTTGTGTGTGCTGGACTGTTAATTTATGCATTATGCATTCTTTCTTCTGTTAGTATGTTTTCTACTATAAGTAGCAGAAACGTGACACTAAGAGTAGTCTTTTTTCCATTTTCTTATAGGAAGGCCAGAGGTAAGCACGCAGAGTTGTTAAATTCAAGAGCTTTGAGCACCTTTCTCTGTTTCTCCAGGGCCGTACATTCAGACTAGGAGACAGCAGTACCCATTCTAAATCTTAAAAGCAGAAAGGATAGCTTTTATTGTGCCTTTTTTCCAGAATCTTAAGTTTTTCCTCTTAAATTAGCTAGAACTGGAACAAATTATCTACCCTAAACTAAACACAACAAGGAGAAGAATATGTGCACATTCATTCATGTATACATGGGACAATAAATGCAGTACAAGGAAAAGAGACTGAAGAAAACAGATCAAAAAGGAGAGAGAGTGAAGAAATCATAGTAAATACACCAGCATATTTTTGGACAATACACAAAAGCAATTTAAAAGGTATACTCTTAAAAAAAAAGGTATACTCTTAGAGTTACTACTACTCTCCCCCAATTCACACTTTTATTGAGGTACTATGATTTACAATACCGAAGGTTTCATTCATCCATTGTTCCAACACCATGTCTACGAGCAGAGTGCTGCTGCCCTCACCAAAGTCCCAAAGATCCCCCCAACTCTGCCCTCAGGTAAGCTCTGTTCGGTAGACCAACTCTCCATAATAAACCTGTCTTTTGTTTGCTTAAGTACGCCATTACTCTTCTGGATTGCGGATCCCTCCCTGAAATGAGTCACAGATACAAGTTTCCAGAAATACAATTCTGTTGGATTTAGACTTTGTGGGCTATGAAGCTTGACTGTACTCAAAGTTTAAAGAACATTAATTTCACACAAAATATGACCAACGAGGAGAGAAACTGTCTGGCCAGGGTTCAATTTGCAGCATCATATGGTATCCTGAGCACTGCTCTGAGCAGTCCTAGAAACACATGTGCACCTGTGGGTGTAGTCCTGCAGGCCCCAGCATGACCCAGGGTGCTTCAGCATTCCCCAGCACTGCAGAGCCTGAGCAGCACTATACCCTCAGGTTCTTGTACAGAACTAAGGGTCTGGTGGGCCAAGATAGTGAGATACCAAACTCCTGCTTACATCTTCTGAGCGCCCTCCCTCACAACTATCAACAGAAAAGAATCAAGTTTAAATCCTACACAGTTACTTGGAGAAAAATAAGTAGAGAGAGTATGGGAGAAATTGTCTGCCATAGAGGCAGGAGGAGGATGGGATATGAGTGGTATAGTGGGGAGATTGGTGGTGGGGAATGTGCACTGGTGAAGGGACGGGTGTTTGATCATTGTATGACTGTAATTTGAACATGAAAGCTTGCAACTGTATCTCATGGTGATTCAATAAAAATAAATGAAAATCTATTAAACATGAAAAAACGGTTTTGAGAATGATAGTTCATCAAGTGTTCTTAACATTATCAAATTTACAAACTTTGCATACGAGCATGAGTTTTTTAGGGTGTAAAAAGTTAAACCATACTTTTCTGAGCTGGAGCCATAGCACAGCGGTAGGGCCTTTGCCTTGCACGCAGCCAACATGGCCGACCCGAGTTCGATTCCTCCAACCGAGAGTGTCTCGCCCGCACGGCAGGGCCTGGCAAGCTCCCCCTGACATATTCGATATGCCAAACACAGTAACAACAAAGTCTCCAATGGAGACGTTACTGGGCCCGCTCGAGCAAATCGAGGAACAATGAGAGGGCCTTTTTATTTTTTGTGTTCACAGGGCTAGAGCGATAGCACAGCAGCAGGGCATTTACCTTGCACGCAGCCAACATGGCCGACCCGAGTTCGATTCCTCCGCTCCTCTCGGAGAGCCCGGCAAGCTACCGAGAGTATCTCCTTCGCAGGTAGAGCCTGGCAAGCTCCCCGTGTTGTATTTGATATGCCAGACACAGTAACAACAAGTCTCATGATGGAGACGTTACTGGGCCCGCTCCAGCAGAATCGATGAACAACGGGAGGACTGTGACTGACTGACTTTCTGAGTACACTTAATATGTCATTATACTTTCTTCTGCTGAAAAAAAAACTTTTGCATTACAGATAATGCTATGAAGACAAAGTGTACGGCATTTTTGCTTGTTTGCGGTTACATTCAACGGGGCTTGGGACTTACTCCTGGTTCTGTGCTCAGGTGTCACTCCTGCCTATGTGGTATATCGTATGGAGTGCTAGTCTGTGCATCCAAGACAAGCGCCCTCCCCGCTGTATTAGCTCTCCGCCCCAGTATGACAAATTTTCAAAATTCTACATTTCACACATACACTATTGCTTGGAATGTCAGACGTATCCTAACCTTATTGTGTTCCCCGTTAATTCTTGGCATTTTTTCTAAGAAAGGTGAAAGAGAAGTTAATGTCTAAGAGGTCTTTAGACGTGTTCCATATTTAATCTGTGAGTAGGATCAAGTTATTTAATATGCAGAAGTTCCATTCCCTCACCTACTGAGTGAACGGGGCAAACTGGGGTCTGAGAATCCCACACGGAAAATCTGAGGCTGCAAATGTGACTAGTATTCGCGACGCAATCCCATCCTTTTGCTGGTTGATGTGGTTTACGGGACCCTACGTGCTCCTCCTCAGGACCAGACACAGGATCACTTTGCAGCTTTACATCACTTGGACCCAGAGCTCAGCTAAGTCCTCCTCCGCAGCCACCCGCAGCCAATCACCACCGGGCGGCCCCGCCCGGCCCGGAAACCGCGCCGGCCCGGGGGCTGCTGGGAAGCGTGTCGGCCTGCGCGCTCCTCGGCCCCGCCCTGTGACGTCACCGGCGGCCCTTGACCCGCCGTGGCCCCGCCCCCTGCCCCGCTTCCCCGTCGCGGCCCCTGCGCCATCCCCGGGCTGCTATGGAGGGTTCGCGCCGCGTAACCGCCACTCCGGGGCCGGAGGCGTCTTGCTCTTCCTGGGGGGCCGCTAGGTGAGGCGCGGAAGCGAGTGCGGAGAAGCGATGGGGCCCGGCGGTAGCTTCCGCCGTGCGGGCTGGCGGGCGAGCGGGCAGGGGTCGCGCGACCGCCGGGGGGCCCGGGAGGCGCGTCGGCGCGCGCGGTGGGTGTGGCGGCCGCGTGCGCGCGGGCCGGGGCGGGCGGAAAGTCGCGGGCCCGGGAAGAGCGGACGGCAGCCGGGCCCGGAGTGTGGGCCTGGTCCGGGTGCGAGTTTCCCGGTTCCCGGAGAGCCGCCCCGCCACCCCATCCCACCCCCCCGGCGTGGGTGCTTGCCTCCCCCCTGCGCCGAGATCCTTCCAGGGGAAACTGATAGCGGAGGGAACTCGGACGTGATGAATGGGCAAGTGCCGAGGGGCCCTGCTGGAACTACAAGTTTTGGGGTGGTTTTCCCGTGTTTATTTATTTATAAGAGAGAGCAGTTTACCAGTCGTCCCTACCAATTGGTGTTCCGATTCTGCCGGAACGGATGGTGCGTGCACTTTGGAGAAATTGGGTCGGGAAGTGGGCGTGTGTCACGCGCGTGTGTCCACCCGGAGGAGATTGCAGTATGGCGACGCTGCTTGCAGGTGGCCGGGTGTGACTCGGAGCCGGCCTGAGAGGGGCCGTGAACCTGTGGCTCCCCGACCCCCGCCCCCCAACCCCCAGGTCCAGCTCCGTGCCTGCTGCAGATTTCACACCACTGTTATGTTGCACGCCGTCCCCCAGATTACCCTGGTGATGTGATTTAGTTGTGATGCTGCAACCTGCCGCCCCTTTCCCTTTTTTTAAAGCAGCTTTTTAAAATTTTACTGGAGACCTGGCCAGAGCAAGGGCTCTAGGTAAACTCCAGCAAGCCAGTGCACTTTCTGAAACGTGGCGGTAATACAATTAAATAGTAGTTTTCACTTTGCACCGGAGCGCACCCGTTCTTCTCCTGCTGTTGCTCTTCCTCCCTGCCAGCAAGAAAGCAAGTGTAAATATTCTAGGGATAAGAAAACTGCATTACAAGATATTTTGTTGACACATTTTGTTCTTAGTGCCCAAGCACGGGATAGATAGCGATTTTGTGTGCTTTTTTTTTTTTTATTGTGTGTCTTCCAAGAACAGTGATTCTCAAAGAGTTGACAGCAGCCCGGGATCACTTCAAAATTCTGCCGCGTCGACCCCACCCTCAGATGAGTTGGATCTACTTGTGGTCTGGCTTCAACTGTGTGACTAGGAATATTAGGAAAATGCTAGAAATTTTTTTGAATTCTCCACATGATTGACATCCAAAGGAAAGTTCAAGGACCTTGGACTTAGTACACAGTTATCTTCTGATTTGCTTTCTTAGTTACAGTGAGGAGTTTTTGTAGAGGAACTGGTAACATTTGATCATACTGGTGTTTGGTAAAATAAATGATAATATTTTGATGACCTGTATTATCCTTTAACTTACTTAGCCTAGAAAAATTTTTTTACAAAGCTGAATTTCATGCCATCATGTGATTTTTTAGAACTCTGAGACTGGTAATTAAAACTTGCCAGAATCTGGGATGAATTAGCCAGGAGGATACCATCTCCGCTGTCACAGTGGCTCCAAGGCAGCGTCCCAGCCTGGTTGTTGCTAGCTGGTGCCATCTCTTTCCCCATGATTATTTATCCTCTTAGAGCTTCTCAGTGTGCCGAGCTGTGAAAAACATGAACTGCAGTCGGTCTTGTAGCCTATATAAATATGCTTTTTCTCACAGTATATTTAACTTTTTTATTTAATAGATCTTTTCTTGTCCTTGTTGCCCACTATGAAAGGTAGAAGGTTGTGTTACATGATGAAGAACTAGACAGCTTGGTCTGACCTGCTCTCTTGGCAACTTAGCATCTTTCTGGCCTCTTCTTCTAACCCTAGTCTTTTACCACTGTTCAGTGGAAGTGGTCAAATACGCCTTCTTATAAGTTTGTAAGGCTTGAGTCATTCTATCTAAACACTTTCCTGTGTCATAGACAGTGTTAGCTTTTGCTGCTGCTGCTTCTACTGTTATCATTGTGGCTGTTTTTATTATTCTTGCAAAGTAGTATTTCAACAATTTCAAATATAGTGGTGAATTCTTTATGAGTCATACATTCTAAAACTGAGGACAGATAATAGTGACTTGAATATAGCTTGTCAGGGAGTAACCTAAGTTGAGATGGAGAACCACTGCATTTATAGGGGTAATCATGAGTGATAATTTTTGTTTGTTGGGGCGCGAAACCTAGCTATACTTAGGACTTACTCCTGGCTCTGTGCTCTGGGATCACTTCTGGAAGTGCTCTAGGGACCATATGGGATGCCAGGGATTGAACCTGGGTCAGCTGCGTACAAAGCAAGTGCTTTCCCTCTGTATTATCTCTCCCGCCCCAGGAATAATAATCTTTTAAGAAACAGTATTTTGAGAGACTTGAATGACAGGAGTCATATATTCAGAGACTGAACAGTAAATGTTGAAGCAGCAAGAATAGCAAATGTGAAAAAAACTGAAGTTAGGCATTATGAGAAAAAACAGTAACCAGTGTAGTTGAAGATTAAGGGCGAGAGTGTTGGGAATTGAGTTTGAAGCTAACTCAAACTATGAGTTTGACGTCAACTCATAGAACCTTTAAAGCATAGTAAAGTGTTTGAATTTTCATGTGTAGAGAACCTAAAACATACTCAAATAGTTAAGCTGTTACTAAGGAGAATAAATTGAATAGAAAGAATATTAGTAGAAATAAACTGGTTGGGGGACCTTTGGAGGTTGGGTAAGCTGATGATGGTTTGAATAAGATAGTACTAATTGAAATAATGAGAAGTTATCAGGTTTGAGATCTCTTTTTTGGGTTTGGGGTGGAGGAGGTTTGGGCCACACCTGGCAGTGCTCAGAGCTTACTTCTGGTGGTGTGCTGAGGGATTACTCTTAGCCAGAGTCAGAGACTGAACACCAGTTGCCACAAGCAAGACGAAGTGCCTTATGGATGTATGATCTCTCAGACCCAGGCTTGAAATCTCTTTTGAAGGTAAAGATCACAGGTCTCACAGATGATGAAAATGAGAAAAGTTGAAGAAGATCCCTAGATTTTTGGCCTGAGCATGAGTAAGTGACCATACCCGAATCTGAGCTGGAAAGGACTTGGAAAGAGTAAAGAGGAAGAATTCTGTTTGGGCCTGGACTTCTGCTTGGATGTCATGTGTGTGATACTAGCTAGAAAATAGTAGATGCTGTTTTGGAAGATACATAAAATCATGTTTGATTTTATACATTTGACTTCAGAAAGGAGATGTCAAACATAGGTGTCAGTATATGTTTAGATGTCAGTATACGGTAAATTATGTTAATGGAATGAGATTATTTAGGGAGAGTATTTATTAGAGTAAGCTTGAGAGACACTGTAAAATTGTAAAATATACATGCGTCAGAATGTATGTAGAATGACGTCATGAGCACTAATTGTAAGTCTAAAGTGATAAGTGATGATACGTTTTGTTTGAAAATCCTTTGATAACTAGTAAATATGATCCTATGTATAATTGAATGTTACATTATAAAATGTCAGTATGGAATAACAGTACTTGCCCTTCTAAGTTATGTTCTCTTTTTTTCAGTACAAATACAAATTTGCCAGTCATGTCAGCAGAATCTGTGGAGATCGATGATTCATTATACAGGTAAGAACTTTATGAAACTGAAACTTATTTTTTCCTAATCAGTGTTCTCAACTAATGGAGTGGTTTATTTTTAAAAGACTGGTCTGTGTAGAATGAAGTAAATATGTTCTAAAAATTTCTCTCAAAATCAGTATGTGTTTCCCCTTCCCAATAACCCTCACATTCTGAAAGTTTAAACGTCTTTAAATCTCAGTTGTTTCAGGTTTAGAAGGTATGATAAAGAATTTTTCCTATCTACACTAATTATACCTGTTGTTTTTAGACAATTTTATGTCTTGATAGTACAATCCATTTCACTTTAGTTAGAGTAGTATCTTATTTTTGGACATCAAATCCTTGATAACTCTAGTATCTCATGAAAAAGAGTTTCACTTTAGTTATACAGTAGCATTTAGAACATGTTTACGTCAGTGTAATTTCAGGAACATACGTTTACGTCAGTGTTATCTCATAATATTGCATGTTCTGTGTAAGTATGGAGTTTTGTATGCAGAAGTATACTGTATATTGTTGGAAGTATATTGTTGGAATTGTAAATAAGATACCTTAACACCATGGTTTACAAAGTTGTTATTAATACAGTTGATACTGACTTTCAGTGTTTGAACACCTTTCCCACCACCAAAGTGACCCTCTCTCCACCATTGTTCCCATTTATCAAACCACCCCCCACACCTGCTCCCTTAGCAGGCACACAATAATTTATATTGCTTGTTGGCTAAAGGAATTATCAAAAATAATTCAGTAAAAGAAAATATGTGAAAAATGTTATATCTCACCACAGAGTTAAGTCCTTGTCTATGGATTTACCGAGCTGTTTGTTGCTAATTCAACTTATTAAGTCTTGTTGTCTTTTATGGTTCTTGCCCCTGCAATTTGGTGTGCTCCTGCTGGAACTTCAGTAGAGAAGTTGGCCGTGTCACGCTGTTGTGTGTGCAGCTGTGTGGTGCAGTTGCTTTAAGATCATGGTCTGGGCCAGTGAGTTGAAAAGACCCTGGGGTTCTCAGCCTGGACACAAAAAGTGCCGGAAACTTTTTCCTGGCTTGGTGTCTCCAGACTGTTAGTGAAGGGGTGATGTTGAGCCGTTGGTACGACTGCAGTGGTGGGCTAACAGTATGGCTGCCAAGGGTGCGGACTTCGCCCCTCCTCCTCTTGAGGATACCCCGGAGTTTTCAGCCTTCAGACTCGTGTGTCCATGAATTTTAGCAGCCTGGTGTACCTCTCCTGGGAGTTTTAGTCTGGAATTGGTAGAGCAGGGCTGCATGGGTAAGTCACCCTGGTGGCAGCTGTCTAAAGGAACCTTTGAAACCATTTCTAAAGTATGATTTGGAGCTGGAGAGGTGCTGGGGTCAAGGCCCTTGCCTTACAGACCCCTGAACCCATTTTGATTCCCAGCACTGCGCCGTCCCCCTGAGCTCTGCTGGGAACAACCCCCAAGTTCCAGCCAGGCGTGTGTCCCAGCCCACCTACCAAAATAAATTAAGTTTGATTTAACATGTTTCCACTTGTGTATATAATACAATTACAATACAATTATAAGTTCATATCGAGACTATATTCCCACATCCAAACATTTTCTCGGGGTCCCTTTTTAATCCCTTCACATGCCAGCTCCCACTTCCTCAGTTCACCACTAACCTGCTTCATCATTTGAAAAATGAAAGATAGTGAAAGGAATCATACAGTATTAAGCTTTTCATCTGACTTCTTTCACTCAGTATAATGATTTTGAAATTCATCAAAATTACCATATCAGTTCCTTTTTATTGGCTGAGTTGTATTCTGTTATACAGGCTATACTATGATTTATCTGCTTGATAGTAATGTATAGACTGATCATTTCAAATAGGGTTACTATAAGCATAGACATGTATCAGGTTAAACATTCCTTAATTTTTTTCAGATAAATATCTAGAGATGACTAGGGTTTCTGGCAGGTCTATTTTCCACTCTTAAGAAGTTGTCAAAATGTTTTCCAGAGGTGTTATTTTATTGATGTATTATTTTACATTCCTAAAATTAGTGTTTGTTGAGGTTTCAGGTTGTTCCACATGTTCACTCCATACCTGGCATGGTCAGTCTTTAGGCATTCTGGTGGGAGAAGGGGGAGATCTATTACACTTTGATCTTAATTTTCATTTCTCTAATGACTATTGATATTGAACATCTTCTCGATAGCTTGTTTACTTGGTTCAGTGTTTCTGTAAGCCTTTTATAAGCTTTATATTTGTTTCAGTTGATTTTTTGTGTGGTGGGGGAGGGAGGGAAGAGAGAGGACACACCCGGTGATGCTCTTCAGAAGCTACCCCTGCCTGTGCTCAGGAGTGACCCCGGCCTTCTCTGACAAAATGCACAAGTCAAATTAAAATGGATTAAAGACCTGATATAAGACCTGGATAAATTACATTGAGAAAACATAGAACACTTCATTACAAAGCAGATGAAACAATGATAACAAATAGAACTGTATCAAACTAAGAACCTTTTGCACCATGAAGGACTGATGACGAGAATAAAAAGACAGCCCATGTACTGGGAGTGAATATTTGCATACCACTCATAGGATAAAGGACTGGTGTCCAAGATATATAAAGCTCTACTAGAACACTACAAGAAAAGACAACCAACCTCATCAAAAATGGGAGTGGGGGATGAATAGAAACCTGATCAAAGAAGAAATACAAATGGCCTAAAGGTATTTGAAAAAAATGCTCTGCATATCTTCTCAAGAAAATCCAAATCAGAACAATAAGATATCATCTCCTATCAGTGAGACTGGCACACATCAGAAAAACAACCAGTGCTGATTTTGATGAGGGGGAAAGGGACCGGCATTTGTTGCTGGTTGAAATATTGACTATTTCAACCTTTTTAGAAAAAAGTATAGACATTTCTCAGAATACTGGGAATCAAACTTCTGTATGACTCAGCAATTTCACTTTTGAGCATCTGCACCAAGGGCCAAGAACTTTCAGATAAAATATTTGTACTGTTAATGTTCACAATAGCCAAAATCTGGAAAAAACCCAAGTGAAAAACAGATGACTGGATAAAGAAACTATGGTACATATGCACAATAGAATACTACTCGGCTTTAAGAAAACAAATAAAATTTGCTGTTGCATGGATGGGTCTGGAGAGTCTCATGCTGAGTGAAATTTGTTAGAGGGACAGACAGAATAATCCAACATGCAAGATATAAAAAGAATCATTGAAGGGGATGAACACCCATAGGCAACAGAAACTGACAAGTCTTCAGCAGTAAGTTACCACCGGAAGGGTGGGTGGCAGGGGAATACCGGACAGTGGTGGATCAAAGACCCTCTCAAGACCTCTTGTGGAGTGCCTTTACTTACAATTCCTTGTCTCCTTGAAATGACATTATTATCTTCAATTCAAGGAGAGAGCAAGACTCTTGTTTGCATTTTCTTTTCTGCACTACAGTCTGGAAACTCCAGGTAGTAGTTAAGACATTCATAAGACTTATATCCCTTGTTGCTCTTTTCTTATTGTCTTGCGTTGCCTGTTGTCCAGTGTCTACAATCTACTGTTTCATTTATGTTGTCTGGTTTTATTGTTAAAAGAGAAGTGGAAATCTTATGTTTATGTTATGTATGTATATGTTCTAGAGGGTTTTTTTCTATACTCTTCCCTTTTTTGAGTCTAGACTGCTTTACCTTTTTAAAGAAAGATTATTATTTTTATGTAAGTAACTTGATTAAAGTAGTTTTATGTCTTATTATGGCTTCACATTTATGTTGTGTTTTATGTTTTACATTTATGGTTTTGACATAGTTACTACACTCTACCACAACCAGAGTTCCTAACACCCTCCACCAGAGTCCTTATGTTCCTTCTAGTCTTCCTCTTCATTCGCTGCCCTCCACATCACCCAAAAATTGATAATCTAAGTTTTGTAATCCAAGGCTATGGATCTGTTATTACTTTGTACTGTCTATTCTCTTGTTCTGTTTCTCTGAATGTCACAGATAAGTAAGACCATCTGATACTTGTCCTTCCGCTGACTCATTTCACTTAACATGATACCCGTTAATTCATGTAATTTTCAATGAGCAGACATGATTTTGTCTTTTAATTGTGTGGTATTTTATTGTGTTTATCTGTACCACAACTTATTTATTCATCTATCTGTCATTGAACGTTTGGGTTATTTCCATATCCTGACTGTTGAACTAAGCACTGCAGTGAACATAAGTGTTCATATATCTTTTTGAATTAATGCTTTTGTATTTGGGGAATAGAAGCCAACCAGTGGAATTACTGGGTTTTATGGAGTTCTGTTCTTTTTAGAGAGATATATGTAATACTTAACCTAGAGGTTGAACCATTCTCACCAATAGTGAAAGAAGGTTTCTTTTTCACCCTATCCCCTCCAACTGATGGTCTAGTCTCTTTGTAGGACATTCTCACTGGTGTGAAAAGATACTTTTTTTTTTCACTTGCCTTTCCTTGATAAAGTGACAATAAAGACTTTTTCATATACTTCCTGGCTGTTTGTATGTCCTCTTTAGGAAAATGTCAATTCATCTGCTCTCCCCCATTTTTTAGTTTGTTTCGGGGCCATACCTAGTGATGCTCGGGGTTTACTTCTGGCTCAGTTCTTGATCATTACTCCTGATAATGCTCTGGGAATCACAGGGTTACTGGAGATTAAACCTGGGCTGGCCATGTGCAAGGCAAGTGCCCTTCCTAATGTACTCTTTCTCCAGTCCTACCTTTCCCCATTTTTTGGTGTGATAATATGTTGTTGTTGTTGAACTTTGTGGGTGTTTTGCATATCTTGATATTAGTCCTTTATCTATAGTTGTGCAAATATTTTCTCCCATTCAGTAGAGTGTCTTATTTTTGCTGAATTTCTTTGCCATGTAGAACCTTTTTAATTTAATGTAATCCCATTTGTTTACTTTTGGTTTTGTTACATTTCTAAGGGAGTCAAATCATTAAACACCCTTCTGAGGTTTATATCCTGGAAAGTTCCT